TCAGAACACGCTGCACGTCTTGGCCAGTTACAGTGCACGGGAAATCAGAGCGAACCCGTACTTAACATTTTCGAAAATTGCTTTTTGCACGCTTGTTTGAAACGAGAACTATTCAGAAAAATTGCCGAAAGGGGAAAGTTCTCTCGTGTTCTAGCAAAGTGAATGGTTTTTTGTGCACTTTTGATAAACAACATTAACCGAAACTGGTCACAAGAGAGGCTTCAAATGACTGACAACACGCGAATTAATTGTGAATCAAGTTTTAATACAGTTCTAAAAATAACCATTCCCTTGAGCACAAGTTGCAATTACAAATTATATTTACTACATCAAAATACACATTTTTCCAAAATATAGTTACATGTAATTAGTTTACTAAAAACGCATCGCAGCAATTACAAAACAAGCCTGTTTACACCTGATGCCAATGCTCGAATGCGTTTTGGAAAATAAAATTGCCGTGTGAACCGAACTATAGACGAGGATTTAGATCAATATTTACGAGTTCCTCGCTCGCATCAGGTTTAAGCTCGTTTTCCAGCCGCTTTGGGTGACTGGTTGTCATATATTCTTCTTACAAAACCGCATCACGGCTGAAAATCGAGCCCACATCAAGCCATGTGATCACATGTTTTCTGTTTCACTAACAAATTTTTGGGCGCGATATGAGTGACATGACGTCACAACCGTGTTGAGTTTGATATCTAATCAGCAAAAGCGTTGTATAACCATAATTAAAACAGTAGCTAGTTCCCATAATTTATCATATAAAGTATTCAAAACGCGCGGGAAAAAAACTTGGAAAATAACAAATCGCAAAATAAGCTCTCTTATGCAAATAGTTTAAGTGGCAATGTTTACAACCAGAACTGTTTGCAAACAACAACTGAGAATGAGCATATCCTAAAACGAACATATCGATGTGAATATTAATTGTTTAAGGTTACATTAAGTTATTTACATGAATTGAAATTAAATACCAACCCTAATAAGTTTTAGCAAATAATTATGCCTTACAATTATCATTAATATACTTACTGTTTAAATATTCAATCCTGCCGTTATTGTAAACAGCTTCTAATAAAATACATTTTTAAGTATCAGCCTTATAACAGGTTATTATCAAAACCTAGAAATAAAGTCAAGCTGGGTCAACCCTTTTTGGCCTCGAATACGAACGATATAAAATGACATCATATATGATTAAATGAGCATAAATTACCCGAATCTAAAACCAAGGAGGTCTCGGGCAAAAGTTTCAAACAAGAGTTTCCAAACGATAACTATGGGAGCCTTGATTTCGGCAGAGAAAAGGATTACAACAAATTTTATTGCTTTTGTAAACAGGCTGAGAGTATAATATACGGTTTGCCTTAGTTGTTCATGGTTTTTTCGCCATACCCAAATTGGTAATCACTCAATATGACTGGAGTGATAGCTCTATTTACTATTTTAACTGAAATGACGAGTACAAAATGATGTTAACAACAACAAGCCAAGCTTGACACATCTCGTTGACGTAAGGAAATTTCACCAAATATGGGTAAGATGAACATCTAATCGTCCAAGTTTGGTACGCTTCAGCGACATATCAGTCTGGTCTGGTCTCGCCATGTGTACGAAAAATATTCTGGGAAACGCAGTCGAGCAAAAATGAGAAACATGGCTCTACCAGATTCACCTGAGATCTCGCCCTGACGTACCACGACTTGGTATACTTAGTGGTTCCTATTAGCAGCAGGAGCAAAAATTGTATTGATTAGCAGTCAGGTTCTTGCCTCGAAAATAACTGCGTTCGTTTTTTTTTTTTTTAAGGGTTTTCATTTCGCAATGTCGGTAACATGCACAGTTTATGATCACTTATCCAATTGATCAATCACAACATTACTGATCCTAATTAACCATCTAAACCGCCAACTGGAGCAGCTCCACACCCCGGCATACGCGCCGCTTTCTGAAACACTTGACTCGCGAAGCACCTTGAGCGAAGCATCTTTAAGCAAAGCATCCTAAACGGACGTATCACCTGGTCTGTGCCCGTTGCGTTGTGAGAACTTTCTAGTGCCGGGAAAACTGTTATTTGCGCCTTGTAAGCTGTGTGCAAACAGCTGCTCTTGTCTGATGAGTAAACTGTCGAAGAGGGCGTCGAACCTCGAGTCCATGTGCTCGAGTAAGGTCTGGAGCTTAGCGTCTACTCTCCCCATGATCCTTTTCTCCGCGGCGTAGATGTTTGTGGTGATGGAGTTGTACACTGATAGACATCCGGGACATCCACATTCAGTGCACCTGTTGAAGAAAGCAAACGAAGCTTATTGAAATAAACTATCATTTATTATGGTCCCCAGTTATACAACTCGTCTTCCTGTTCCCAATTTTCCCTCTGTCAACATCTTCACTCGCTTCACTGTATTTCACTGCATTCCCCTGCCGACACCTCCACCCCACCTACGCCAGTGGCATCTCTATCCTCTCTTACCTAGCTTTATTTCCAGGTTCTGATCCATCAGACTCTACCTTTTCCAATGGCGCGGGCGCCTGCTCAGCCATCACTCGTTCAACAGCACGTCTGTCCTCTAAACAGAACGACTGAGCCCGCGGGTTAAGCTGAGCCTGCGTTGGCACTGGAAACGCGCTCCCGAGGGACACTGGTCTAGATTTCCGCACCATGTTGCGACTCGCACGGACACGTGACTGTAGGTATGTTTCCCAGCGGTGCTTGGCGAGCGTGGGTGATTCTGGTATGTCTGTTTCGCCATTTTCCGCCGGCAGTGAGCCAGGGCTGTTAGCTGGTTCTGCTTTCTTGTCTACCATGAGGCCTGCTAGCATGTTAATAAAACCTTCATCGCTTTCCGGACTGCCTGGCAAATCTCTTCCTGCAAGGAAAAATTCCAGTTAGTAGGAAAATGAGATCATTGGTACAATTCCATGAATTAGTAGTAATGGCCACTGGAAAATATCAATAGATATTTGGTGTACGGAAATACACAATCACGAGAGTAACGATCTTCCTGAGAGCTTTGAAGTTATATGCAACTTCACCGTCTTATTAACTGCAGCAGAACAAAGGCATAAAAATTAACAAGTAGGTCAGGCTCGTCACGCATTCCTCGTTGGGAAGAATGCGTGACGAATCAAAAGAACGTTTTGCGCAGGAGACTAGTCTTCACACGGAAGCAAATATCTGAAAGTCATCTCTTCTTCTCCTGAGAGGACCCTGGGAACGAGGTTGCCGTATTACCCAATAGGCCACGTTCGATATATCAATATTGTGACATGGCTCCTAGGCTTTCGGGACAAACTTCCATATTTGGTGTTGTTTTCTTTGTATCCAAGTCTCTTTTGGGATTTGAGAGATAAAAGAAACTTAAAAAAATTTATAATTTTGAACCAAAAGCCTCGGAGCCATGTTAGAATATTGATATATCAAACATGGCCTATTAAAGAGATAATCTTGAATAAGTCAGGTCGGAGAGTTAAATATCACTTATAGATATGCATATCATCCAGCGATTTGTAAGATTACATAGAAGTCATACATTTGTTTGCGATATAAAGAACAGAGTTCCTATCTAAAATATAAAACAACAGATTCCCACCCATTCTTTCCGCTTTCTCCTCTTCGTCTAGTTGTTTGGCTCGTGCCATCGCTTGCGATAAGATACTTGTTTCACTTCCCGATAAACTAGCAGCGCCAAGATTTTCAGGCCGTGGTCCACTGCCTACACTGAGGGACCTGGCACGATCTACAGCACGACTGCTTTGACTCTGTCAAACATAAACCAATCAATTAGCTATGGGGCGAGGTCACAATATTTTACGAAATTCTGTTGATTTCCGAGCATTATAAATGAATACGACACTCACGCAAACTACTGCGTGGAATCCGTTTTAAAATTCTCCAATTTTGCCCGTTAGACTTTTCCATAATTCTTTTTGGTCCTTTTAATTATTGCAAAATTCCAGTTCATTCTATGACCAGGTTGGTTAATTAGTGCTGAAATTACCTAAAATTGTATGACCTTGGGGATGGGGGTGGAAGAGCTGAGAGGGGGAGGATTACTTTTTCTTCTGTTTTAAAGCTGTACAGGTCATTTCCGCTGGGTGTGGTCGTTTATCCTGGTTGTTTTCATGCGCATGCTCCCAAGGGAAAAAGATGGCGCCTGGTACATTTACCTATAATTCTTAGCGGACAAAAAAAANGAAAAAAATCAGGGCTTCAATGGGATTCATATATACTTCACATCATTTCACTCCTCACCGGTAGATATGAACTCAATTAATTGACCTCGCTCCCAATGTGTGGCTTCATAGCTCAGTTGGTAGAGCATCGCTCCGGTATTGCGAAGGTCACGGGTTCGAATCCCGTTGCAGCCCTGATTTTTCTCAGGCTTCTTCTTTCCAGTTGCTTAAATTGGAAAATTTACTGTGATGATCATTCTTCACCTTCCTTTAAAATATGTGTAGTCGCCATCTTTTTTCCCATTGGGATTCACACTGTAAGTATCACAAAATGGGGTACCACTAGCATGAAGGGAAAATGAATCCTTTCAAATTTAGTGCAAGCATGCACTTATTATAATTCTTTTATCTTACCACTTGCTTGCTTTCCATGGCTTCCAGGAGCTGCTGAGCCTCTGGGGAGAGTTGTTTGCCCAAACTATCTAAATAGCTTCTCACATTTGCTATATCCACTTGGCCTGGTATTAAACCCTGAGAAATGTTATGTAGACAGAGTACCATACATGAATGAACTTCAAATTTAAAAAAAAAAATACACTGTTTCTCTCTTCGGATTTTGATAAAATTAATGCCCACCTGGTAATTTTGCTACATATTAAGTTCAAATTCTGACGAGAGTATGATTCTTAACTGTTATTTCATGGTCAAACCATCTGCTATTTACTCCCTTAAGAACATCTGCATGCACAGCAAGCACTGTGTCAGGGGTGGATGACACATCATGGTTGCAAACAAGCATCACATATGTGGCATCCATTAACAAGAAACTAAAACTATCAAAAAAAGTCTTTGCTTTTACCAAAGTCACCCACGGACAAGAACTTATACCTTAAAAGTACTGACACTTGCTTCAAATGGGATAGTTAGGCCATTCCAGGTTGATCCCTCTCCCCCCATTACTGACAGTGTTTTAGTCACACCTCAACTATATAACAGTGCCAATTTAATATATTTTATTGTAGTTCTGGGTGGAGAGAGACACTGTGAGAGTAAATTGTATTTGACAATAAGGACCACAGCACGAGGACCCCAAACTGACTCCAATCTGAACCTCTTAACCTGGGCAAATGTTCCACTACCACAAGCCTTATCAGTTGTCAGTTGTTCAAATTTCATCTCCTACAGTATTGTTTTCACGAAATTCTTCTAAAGCCTCTTAAGCACCTTCACGCTGTGTTAAGTTATGTGGGCATTCTTGTTCATCTTGCTTCTCGGAGAATTTCTTCACGATAAAATTTTCACATTATTTTGTACTCTAAAGATGATTTCCAGTCTGTACTCCACACTCTCAAGAGTTTGTTTTCGTTTTTTGTAGTGTTTCATGTAAGACATCACAAAATGTAACATTTTGCAACAACTTACATGAAGGAAATTCAAAGTTTCACGTCAACTGCCATTATGGATTTGAAGCTTCATGCTTCATTCTTTCTCATATCACTTGATGAAACAGCTTCACAGCTGTAAAAAACAATGAAACTGTTGGAAAAAGAATTTGAAAGGCCTCAAAGATAGGGTATGTGGTCCATAACGAATAACATTGATTCGCAGAGTGAGACTTATAGACATTAGGGTGCCAAGACTGGGCAGTACAGACTGGAAATCATCTTTAAGACAGAGGCTAGGAGGTTTGGGATAGAAGTTACTAGCTAGCCTAAGAAACATGAATAAGGACTAATAAATATAATTACTGAGTTTTTTTGTGTGTGTGTTGGGTGTAAATCTGGGAACATCCTGAAAGGTAAAATACAGTGAGAGACTAAACTATATTTTTTTCGAATTCAAAGCAGAGTTTAAACACAAAACTCAAACTTACATAATTAAATACATGATTTATTAGTTAACTGACCTGTAATGGAATCCCAGATGTAGCAGGTGCAGTTAGTCTAGCAACTCTCACAACAATTGTCTGAAGTCTCATGGACTGCTCTTCAGGGTATGATAGGAACTGGAAAGGAAAATACAATATTTTCTTGTTAAATAACACTTCTAGCCTTCCCCAAATGTGCCAGCAGCTAGAGAAATTGTGCCCCCAGTCTTGAAAATTTGCCTTTGGTGGACTCTGATCTGGTACAGCAACACAGCTCTAAACTTTACTTCTGTCAATAATCTTCCCAAAATTATGTGACACAGAGTGCAGAGGAGCCCAAATTTTACAATGAGGACCGCTTAAGAATAGACCTCCCATGAATATGGTTTGCCAAAACCTTTTCAAAATATTATACAAAAGAAAATTGCTTGCACTCATTTTTCCTTACCATGCTTACTTCTTAATTCAGGGTGCAGGGATGGCGCAGTGGTGAGAGCGCTCCCTCCCACCAATGTGGCCCGGGTTCAAATCCTGGACCTGGTGTCATAAGTGGGTTGAGTTTGTTGCTGGTTCTAGTCCTTGCTCTGAGAGTTTTTCTCCGGGTTCTTTGGTTTTCCTCCCTCCACAAAAATCAACATTTCTAAATTCCACTGCGATCAGAAATTTGAGGGCCACAGGTTTGTCAGTCATGAGACTGTTGTTTGTTACCCCCGTTAAACAAAGTTAATTAATTAATTAATTATAATAATTTAATTAATCAAAACAAAGTTAATTTACTTAAATGTGTAGCAGACGATTTCAGTTAAGCTTTCTTGAGAGAACTTTGGTGTTCACAATTTTGCTATGAGTGGATGCATAATTTAATAACTTATACGGGCAGAGTTTTCATGGCCATAAATTGCAAAAAAAAATACTTATTGAACTTATGCATTTGGTCTGCTATGGGGAACAAGTACTGTTCCCCTATTGCTTGTTGTACAGTAACCATGAAAATACACAGTAATGTTGGTCATCTGATGTACTAATGGTGACTGGAATCATTAGCTAATGGCAAATTTTCTCATTACAAAATTATCGAACACAGGTTAGGTTAAGGATGTTTACCTTCACCAAGCAACGGCATGTTCCATGGATGAACTCAGTCAGGTCAAACTCAGTCTCAAACAATGATACTTTTCTACATCAAGAACAAAACAAAAAACAAATTAAAATTGTGAGCTCTACGATGCAGTCTCCAGAGCCGTAGACAGGGGAAAAGTATGACTGAGGTAAGCTAAGGTTCATGGTCAAATTGTCTTCCTAGGTATTTAGCAGTGTTTTTACTTTTCCCCTTCTAAAACAGAACAAAACAAAAAAAAAAACATTTGAAAAAATTGACTGAGGCAAGTACCTCATGCTGGCTATGGCCTGGTCTTTCTGACAGTTCCCATTTTGGTTAGACGATTTCCCACAGACTATTTCAATTGTTTTATTATTTAATATCACTTACAGTACATGTATTACATAATATTTACAAGTAGAGTGGAGTTGAAAGCAAATAGTCATTAATAAACTTCATGTCATCTGAGTGAAGCAAAATGGTATCACTTCACAGTCTGTATCACCAATAATCATGCTGAAACTTCCTGATTGCCGAAGATCACTGACATGTTCTGAAGATTACCAAAAACCAGCCAAGGGTTGTCTATGATAAAGACCAAAAACTGATTGCCAAAACCCAAGGACCTCCTGTTCTAAAAAGTCAGACCAATTTAAAATCTAAAATTAATACCCTAGGAACAGATGATCCACATGTAGATCAAACACCTCTTGATCTAATACAAAAGATCCCAAATCAATGCTTTAACACCTCTACACATCTATTCAAACTGAGTAAGTCTGACTCTTTCCTAAGATACACAACTAAAGTATACCTTCCTTTCCTGATAGTGAGCATAATTCCCCTTGCTGTTTTTTCGTAATTATCATCAATATAAAGCTCAACATTCCTTGCTTCGGAGACAATAACAATGTTCTTGATGTAGAACTCTTGCGCCATAGGATGCGCTGTGAAACTCATTTCACACGGCACCACATCACTGTGTGGTTTTGGCCGTGTGAGAATCACACCCGCTCCTGCCGACTGAACACAACCAACAACAAGCTGATCTTGGGCTCTGAAATAAAGACGTGCAAAATTAATGAAAGTTCCTTTATCTTGTATCACTCAATACTGTACATGTAAAAGAAATATGCATATGATTGTACACTTAATTACCCTAATATTGTGTACATGTACTTTTGAACATTTGGTATCTGATAACAGGGCTGTCATTAAGGGCCGTAACACCTGTTACGGCTGAGTTCACTCGGTGTTACAGGTGAAGATGTCGATTGATGTTACGAACATGCTACACTTACCTAATTTATTTTTAAACATTTCCCTGTTGAAATAAACATAACTGTTTCTTGGTGTCTTGCCTCCTTGGTTCTACTATTTATATTTTACTCTGGAGATGA